GAGCGAAGCGGCGGCTGCATTAATTCTTGCTGCATTTATTGCCGCTGGTCAGCGGTGCATTTACTGCACCGCCACAATAATTCCTGCACAGAATTCCGCTATATTTATGTCTCCTACATCCTCAGCTCCTGCATTTACTACACTCTCCCAGCTCCCTTAATTAAATTCATGCACTACTTTTTAGCCAATTTTTGGCTATTTTTGTGTAATTTTTATTATAGAACCTTCTAGAAAATAGGTAGTTATTAGTAGTTATAGTAGTAGCTATTTTTAGAATTAGTTATTTATGGTTATTTTTTTAGAGGTAGTTAGTAGTTATTTTTAGAAGTAGTTATTTATTGGTGGTTGTAACCGCCAAGCTTCTAAAAGCTTTTCCCCTATAAATATCCCCTCTAAATATATACACCATACATATATATACACACCATATATACACAATAATACAAATTCCATACACTCTATTTTCTCCATTTATTTTCTCCCATATTTTTATCTAGTTTAATAATACGGGATTTTCGATTTTGTGTCGCGAGCAAACCGATTTTCTCCCCCTTTTTCTTTTAATTCCTGCATATTATTTTAGCTAGTAGAATTCCTATCATATTTCTCCACCTCACCTTCATCCAAAAATTCCATGTTCGATTTGAATTGTTCAAGTTGGATTTCGACAAGGTTGCGGAAGGGCGATAGAAGAATCGACTATTTCAGCCATGTTTCGTGCCAAAAGCAGATTCCGGGTAGTTCAACGTAGCTAAGTACGCGGGAGCATTGTCGACCTGCTTAGTTGCTGTTCTGAATTCGATTTCGATTAAAGAGATGTATCAGAGGGGTAGAGCCACTAGCGGAACGGTTGGAAGAAGAATAATTCATGGGGCATAGACGGTGGTCTATTGGGTCACAGAAATCTCTAGTGACAGTAGAGTTTCTTGTTTATAATGTTTTTCGTCGGGTGTTGCTAAAGCCTCGTTGTAAATTCCCTAAGGTCAAGTACCAACCGAGTCGATAATCAGCTTAAGCGAGCAAATGCGATCACGTTCATTCCTCCGAGCCGCCCCGCAATTATACATATATTTTTCGCTATCACGCCATCGTCATCCCGCTCATTTCATCCATGGAAATCTAGCCATTAAAGAACGTAAAAGTCAGACACAAACGCCTCGCTTCATCCTTTTCGAGATATGTATATTTTATCGCTTTTTAATTAGATTTAATTTTTGCAATTTATCTTTTCAGTTTCTTCGATTGCATTAACTCATTGCACTTTTTCTAATTAAATATAGAATATTCGCATATTCCCTGAGTTCGACCCGGACACTCACCGGTTAAAGAGATTTTTTATTTTTTACGAAGAATTTTGGAGTTACTATACAAACACACACGACACTATTTTCATTTTATACATATATCTATTTTTTGTATCTTAAAAGATATTTTTTTAAAAAATCTCCAAAATTCTTCGATCACTGATTCTCCAAATTTATGTTTTGTTTCCATAAGATTTGTGAGCATAATCTCCGGAATGGGGCTGTAAAATCTGTCATGAAATTCTCACTCAATCTAAGTTCAGTTATGTATGGAGTTAGTACGGAGGGAGGAATACACTGTAAAGACAGTCCTTGTAAGATTTAACAAAAAAAACTATAGTTGGTAAAATTTATTAAGGGATAATTCCCTAATTAGGATTGTGAATCCGGTCATATGCTTAACAGATGACTGGTCATCTTCTCCGGAAAATATTAGGGAATGGATAATTGCGTTCTACCCAGTCTAGAAAGGGATTCAGGTATGCAAGTCCGTGCAGCCCTTGGCTTTGGACACCAAGGTGTTGGCGTACAACATCTTGCATCATTCTACTGGTGAACGTAAGGCGCGGCTTCAAGGATATTGTTGTATGGTGGAATGATCCATTGTTGATGAGTGAGCTACAGATATGGTTCCCACTGTGTATGGGCGCTGGAGCATAATAGCTCGGCGCTCCCTGTGTTTTGAGGTACACTATAAGTTTGGGTCATGCTTGTGCTTATGTAGCCAAAAAATATGGATGAGTTACTAGCAAATTCCTTCGGATAGTACGGCCGTATTGCCGTAGGTGGCCAAGTTTGATGCTTCCTGGCCATTAGATGGTGCTGGCCTCTCCATCCGAGTTGGAATGAATTCTTCCAGGATAGATGTTGGATGTGGTGGAAGACCTGAGGATGTCGTGTGGACGACATTGGTTTCTTCCGTTGATATTATTATTTCTGAATGAGCCATCAGGTGATGTACAAGTCTATCTGATTGTAATCTGATGAATTCGAAATGATTTTCCATGATGAAAAAGTTATTGTCCCACTAGGCGTGCCAAAATGTTAAAGTGGGTTAACAATTTTCAACTGATGATAACCAATGGCTTCTTTCCGAAGGATTTAGAATAATTAAATCCTTAATTTATACCAAACGTAGTGCTTAAATGTTTGATAGTAAGAAAAGTTAGAGAAGAATTAGGAAGTGCGAAAAATTATATAAATTGCAGAAAAGTAAAAGAAATTAAAGTTTGATTGAGATCTTGGAATCGGAGTTTTACAAAGCATACATCAACCTATTAATAGAATCTAAAAGTTGTCTTACGAATCGAACACGGCGTTGTGCTATATTAACAATGTGAAGAGATGCAACTCTTCTATATGAAAAATAATCATAATTAAATAATTTTCTAAGTTATTTTCTAACTTTCTAAAATTAAAAACCATTGAACTTCTTAATTTAGATATGATAAAATAAAATAAATATAATATTGTAATATTGGGGGTGCCCTTTCTTCTGTAAAACACGGCCAGACCTTTGTAAAAATATCTGAAAATATGCTCAACCTTCTCAAACTATAAAAACACGCCCAGACCTTAAAAATTATATTTGAAAATACACTCGTACATTTGAAAAATTACATCCGATAGCACCTTGCCTTTTGAAAAATATATTTTACGCACCCGGACTATATTAAATATATCTGGCAGCACCCTGTCTTATGGAAAATATATATGACAATGCCCGTACTATATAAAATATATTTGGCAGCGCCCCACCTTCTTAAAACACACCCGGGCCTTTGTAAATATATCTGAAAATACGTCAGGCCATTGTAAATACTTCTTATTGCACCCAAACTATCCAAAATATATCTGGCAGCGCCCCGCTTTTTGGAAATACATCTAACAACACCCAGACCTCCTGAAAAACACGTCCAACCTTTTGCAATCATCTGTCACCACTTGTACACCTATTTGGATTATGTGTCTTCTATCTAGGCAACTTCTGCATTAACCCGGGCAACTTTTGCATCAATGAAAATGACTTTCGCATCAATCCGGATGACTCCTGCAGTACTCCGGAAAACTTTTTTAGTAGTTCAGATGATTTCTGCATTAGTTCAGACAACTTCTGCATTAGCCTAGGCGATTTATGCATCAATCCAGGCGACTTGTGCATTAGCCTAGGAGATTTTTGTATCAGTCTATACAACTTCTGCATTAGTCCAAACATTTTTTGCATCGATTTCGAATGCCATCTGCATCCATTTGCAATTCGAAAGCTGATCGCCTATACCACCAGTCGGACATGTATATCCATCGCCACTACTCTAATTTTCCTATGTATGGTCTTAGTTTATTCTTTTGATTGTTATCTTGATTCTTGATTTTCTAAAATTTCGACCAATCAATCCCCTTTTTATTTATTTGTTTATTTATCTTTGTGGGATAACACCTTATTTATCCAAACTCTTTATAGAGCTCCCAATTTCATAACAAATATTAAAATTTGTTCTAATATACAATACTTTATCCTTCAAACTTTTACCCGGAAGACTATAACAAAACTTTAGATTGGTTTCCATCCCACCCGTCATTACATATAAATCAACGAAAGTTCAATAATTAAACTTATCCCTATCAATATCTTCAAATTTGACTTTTATGCCTTTCATGTACTTTACAAAATGAGTCGCAAATTATATAGTCATCTTCCCCATTAGAACAAAATGATGGAATCTTTCCTATGGTATTTGCAATACACGGCAAATATTAAACTATTCCACACCACAATTGCAAACAACTACTATATTGAATTCAATCTTTTATACATTTAATTTATATTAATTATAAATGACTAAATATATATTTTATTTGCATATTCATATTATAAAATACTCTCTTCGTCTCAACATAAAATAATAGGGACATTTGAGATGTACACGGAAATTAAAAATAATAGTATTATATTGATAATTGGTATATAAGTATGTTGAGACTAAAATATTCATATTTTATGTAATTATTGTGAAAAAATTATGATAGTTTTGTAAAAATACAAGGAAATTGTTACCAAAAATAAAAATGAGACAATTGTTTGGAACGGATGAAAATGTCAAAATTGAACTATTGTTTTAGGACAAAATGAGTATATTTTTATGATAATCTCTTTTATCTGATTTTTTTTTTATTGCTATATAAATTTTAAATTATTTAAATATACTCCCTCCGTTCCAGATACCATGTCCAACGTTGCCGTTTTTGTTAGTCCCACATACATGTCATTTTCATTTTTTGAAAAATGATTACATACTTTAATCTCATTTTAAATTTTTTAATTTTTTTTAATTTTAATTAAAGTTATTTTAATCTTAATTAATAATTATTTATATTATAAAATAATTATTTTCACTAATACATTTTTAATTATATATTAATTACATCCAAAAATACTTTTTATCTCCAATGTAGCAGAGATGGTACGTGGTAATATGCGAAATGGCAGGCGATTCAGAGTGGTCCGGGTGTGCTGTAATCATGACATGACAGCAAAATAATTTTTTCTTTTTTATTATGGGAAGGAGAATTATTATTTTTTTCTTTTTTATGGGAAAGATTGGAAAATATTTTTTTCTTTTTAATATGACAGGTGGACGGGACTATAATCGCAGGAGCTTTTGAAGATACAGGTGGACGAGTGAGCCATGCACTGAACCGAACCATGATCAGAAATATGTGCAAGAACCGCAAACCAAAGAGCGCTGTGATTCTTCTGCGTCTTCATTTCATCTTCCTCATCCTAATTCTTCTTTCGTCTCTTTCTTTTGTGAATGAAACCCTAGCAGCCAGCTAGCTACCTAAATTAACATTATTCGCCAGAAATTACTAAGAATTGGTGGTCAGAATGCCGAAGGCGGCGACGGCGGTGGTCTGGGTGGTGTGGTGGCTAACAATGGCGGATTTAGGCGGAGTGCTCTCGATCCGGTTTGGGATCGACAAAGAGGAGTGTTTGTCGCACAATGTTATGTACGAGGGGGAGACTGTCCACATATCGTTCGTCGTCATTAAAGCAGATTCGTCTTGGCATTTTGGTGGCGAAGAGGGAGTCGATCTTGTTGTAAGGATTCATGTATATGTATATATATGCCTATTTATTTCAAATTAATTGTTTCAATATTTGGTTTCCCATTGACGAGTTGGATTTTGTTTTGATTCAATCAGTGTTAGATATGATTCGATTTTTTATTGCAGTGATCCTAATAACTAAGTAGTGTATGTATTATATATGCTCTTCTGGGATTGGGATTTTAGGAATTACATTGATGGAGTTGATTCCCACATTGAGGAGGTCTTGTTTGTTTTCATTCATGTTCCTGATTCAGTTAGTTACATTCTGTGATTTGTGCAAACTTGATGTATAGATAGTGGATGGATCTATAAAATCGAGCTGTTCTGTTTGTTGTAATATTGAAGAAATTCATTGACTCTGCATTTAGGGATGAATTGAATGATCACAGTGCTTGAGAGAGCTAATTGCTTATTAAGTTGCTAATGTTGAAAAGAGGTCACGAGTTTGATTCTCGCTCGCTAGCTCGTTCTTAGCGATAGTGTCATGTTTAAAAGGCTCTGATGAACCATGTGGATGCGAGCAGAGCTTAAATCCAGGCTACTCGAGTTTTAGATCATTCAAATGGGACAAGAAAATATTGAACTTACTACAATTTGGTAGTTTCTTTTGGATATGTTTGATTTATAATTAAAGGTATAGATAATTTGGTAGGGTATGTAATTAAGAGGACACAAACGGCATTTAAATCAAGCAATGCGTTTAGATAGAAATTCTTGGAGCTTTGAAAATAATATGGGAATAGTAAAAAGTTTTGATGTTATGTTTTATGAGAAAAATAATCTATATGTTTGATGTGATATTTTTGAAAAAGTTATTATAGATGAATAGTGTCAAAAGTTCTAAAAGTGTCGGTATAAACAGAACTTAATAATATGTAGCCCCACAAGAGTGTAGCTTCTTCGCCTTAACTTAGTTTATTGTTGTATCCAATAACTTTTAAGATTCGATTGTCAGGTAAAAGGACCGGATGGTGAGCACATTCATGATTTTCGCGACAAGATAAGTGAGAAGTTCGAGTTTATGGCTCAACACAAAGGCATACATAGGTTTTGCTTCACGAACAAATCTCCTTACCATGAGACCATTGATTTTGATGTGCACGTTGGTCATTACTTGTACTACGATCAACATGCGACAGATGGTATGCGTGTATTTGTATCTCTCAGTATATCCTTTTTTCACTTTCCATATTCTTCACTTTAATTGAAACAAAACTTTTTTATTTGTGTAGAACATTTTAATCCGATGCTAGAAATGATTTCCAAGTTAGAAGAAGCTCTCTACAACGTCCAATTCGAACAACATTGGTTGGAGGCACAAACAGATCGCCAAGTTCTCGGTAACTTATCAAATTATATGCGCCCGATCACACACATACATGCACAATCATTACTTTTCATTTTTATTGGCATTCTCTATTACAAGTTTTATGCTATTTCATTATAAACTGCTGTAAAATCTTTTATTTTTTGGATTTTATAGTGCATTGTTATCGAAAACACATAGGTTTTGTTTATTTGTGAATTTGGATTTAGATTTTTAAATAGTAAAAGAGTGAATTTGATTAGTTGTTTAAAGTAATATAATAGATGTTGATGTGATATTTTTAATGTAAAATTATTTTTTCAAATAATAAGAAAAATAACAAATAGTTACATAATTTGATATTTTTTTAAAAAAATAAAATTAAATGAACATTAAAAATCTTGTCAGAAATTCATAAGAGGTTTGCGTAATTATAGTTTATACAAAAAAAAGGAAGAAAGTTATAACTTAATATAGGATTGCAACACATCACTTAAGATTCTTCTTGAAAAAGCTATTGTCCAATTTGCATAAGCATCGAACATGCATGCTTATTATCCTTTTTCTTCCAAATAGATGGACCGAATCAATCTATCTTATACAATCATAAACACTAAGATGTGGTATGCTTTGTTTTTGATATCTTTAGTGAACGAAGCAATGGGCAAGCGAGCGGTGTACAAGGCGATATTCGAGTCACTAGCGCTCGTTGGAGCTAGTTTCCTCCAAGTTTATCTTCTCCAACGACTCTTTGAACGAAAACTTGGCACATCTCGGGTGTAAGTAGCGTTTGTAAGCTTATATTTTTGCACGACGGCTAATTTACGGATAACTTGGGTCTGGAAATCCCCTTGGTTTTCTTTTTTTATGACGTTGGAACCCGCAACGGCTAACTGAAAGTGCGATATGGGTAAAATCCCCGGCCGAATCTAATAGCCTACAAACTAGGCCCCGACAGATTGTCTTATTTAAGCATATAGAGGTGAGATGGTAACAAGCTAAGGGGAAGTCAATCCACACGAGTTTTGTTAGTATTAAGGTTGTTATGCGATAGCTTCTTTTTGTTTTTTGTTTTTTTTAAAAATTGTTAGGTGATAACCTAGCTGACCTGAGCGAGCTTAGCTTTGGTGTTGTTTTTCATTCATTCAATTCATTGTTGGAAATTATGATTTACAGTTAGAATGGGTTTGATTAACTGCTTTGCCATTACTATTATTTTCTCAAAAGAATTCCATGGCCATTTAATCCATAGATTTTTTTTAGAGTTCTGAAGTTTTGAAAAATTAAAAATAGTAAAATATTATGTTTAATTTGATATTTTGTGAAAAACAAATATATTTGATATAATAATTTAAAGGAAAAAGATAAAAAATGATCCCAATGAAAACGAAATCAATCAATTTTGATTCCATTATAAAAAAAAAAAGAAATTATCATTTTTTATTTTATTAGAAAAATTTTTAATCACTTTTGGCTTTACTAATCAACACGGCCATGTTTCAAAACAACGTGGTTATGTACAATACCAAAACAAACACAGCCATTTAAAAAGAAAAAAAAAATATATATATATATATATATATATAAAAACAAGAAAAATATCGGTGAGTGTTTGGTACGTGTGCTGTGATTCATTTTCATTTTGGTAATTAAGTTGATAGACAGACAATTAGTTTGCTCTTGCTTCCAAGTGAAACTTAAAACATCAATTATGAATCAAAACACTGGTGTGCAAGTTGGAGTCCGGCAAAATAATGGCGGCATTTCTCTTCTCCAAGAGTGAGTCAGTGGAGGGGTAGGGCAGGGCAGGCAGGATGAGAGAATGTTTGGAATTGGAGTGCTGCTGTACTGTGCTGCGTTGAGTTGAGTTGAGGGTTTACACTCCATTTCAAACTCCAATCAAGTTTACCTTAATATTAACAAGAGTTGAATGGCGCCATTCACACACACCCCTTGGCCTGAGGAGGAGACTCACTATCAAATCCATTAGGGTATTTTTTGGAATAATGATGATGATTGAAGATGGTGATGATAAAACGAAAACAACACCAATAATCACTAACATCTCAGTCTCCTATTTTTCTCAACTGGACTAATTTTATTCAAACGGAAACACATAGCATAGCAAGAGGTAACAAAACAACGTCTAAACAAACATACACACACACAACTCCTCTTGGCTCCCTCTTCCTTCCTTCCTTGTAGGATAGTCGGGCTGGCTTGCCTGCCTGCCCCGTGCAAATTTCTGCAAAAACATCAGCCAGTTGGACCCGAGAGTCTTTACTGTAAAACATCATCTATCAACTATATACTATAGTATACTACTACATGTGTTGAAATTTAAATACATAAGCACATCCTTGTATTAATCAAAATAATGCATAAGTAAACATTTATTAGTATACAAAATCTGTGTAGAACTATTTATTACAAGAGATTAGTTTTCCTTTTTTACTGGTAAGAAAGTTTTTCTTTTTATTGGATTTCATTTCCTTTTTCTAGAGATATCCTTTCAATTATTCTTGTGTCTATAAGATGAATAAAAATCAAAGAATTCATTCCAGAATTCATTCAACAGCATAGATTATTTTGCTAACACAAAAGTGAATTATGAATAAGATAGACATCGGATAGATATTTCAAACATTAAGATACCATACCCCTACCATATATGCATTTTACACTACAATGTTAGTAGTATATAAAAACAAATTATGTGGATTTATATTGAATATAAAGCATGCTTTTTATCTACACAAATTAATCAACAAGTTTCTGGATGCATAAGTGATTCCAGCTTGGGCTCACAAAGAATTAATTACTAGTGGAGTTTGCATATATAATCTGATACCAGTATAGTTAGTTATGAGATGGGGACGTACCAAAAAATTGAAAGATTATGCAAGCTCGACAACAAGGGCTGAGGCACCTCCTCCTCCATTGCAAACACCAGCAACACCGTGTTTTCCTTTCTTCTGCCTCAATACCTGATACCAGCCAACATTGCTCAAGCTTGTCAGCATGATGTCCAAACTCATATTTTATTTTGTATTTGTAACTAAGAATAATAATAATAGCAACTGTGAAAATCATGAGTAATGAGAAACGCCCTGCCACGCTTGACAACAAAAAACACTGTGATGTTTCAAAAATAGCCTTTCTCAAAATAACTGACCCTAAACTCCACTGTAATAAAAGTTAAATATAGAAACTATTTTTATTATGTCATTCAATAACTACATGATGTGTGTGTGTCTGTAAATTAAAATCTACTACACCCACAAATAAATTATATATAATAATATATATTCACAGTATCTGGCACAAAATAATAAAATGAAAAATGAACAATTAAAGAAAAGTATACCCCCAAAAGAGTAACCACGATACGAGCTCCACTGCAACCAAGAGGGTGGCCAAGTGCTACAGCTCCACCATGTACGTTAACTTTTTCCTGCAAAAAGGATATTTAAAATAGATGTTTAGATTCATAACTATGGAATACATCTAGCACAAGAAGCAGCGTTCAAACTTCCCAATAAGGGTTTTTGAGTTAACACAAAACAGAGTTATCTCAATGATTCTTTTGTATACACTTGTTAGTTTAATTTATATGCAGATACTCCAAGATCACTCACTCGAGGCTGAACAAGATTTGAATTGAAAACTCACCGGATTCAGATTCAATAACTTCTGATTTCCGAGAGCTACGACCTGCATAGAATTACATACGTGGAATTAGACTGCAAGCTTTTCAAATAGTAATGTAGTGAACTCATCTAATGTAAATCTTCTTGTGTTGACTATTGAATAAGTGAACAAATCTAAAATGTGCTCAAGTTAGACTCAGTAAGCAAATATTTCACTTGAGCTCAAGCTTGTGCTTGTTTATCACAAAGCAAATAAGCAATCAAGCTCAAGCATGAAATTCCTATCAAACCCTAGTCCCTACTCTTATCTAGTGGTAAATTTACCGCAAAGGCTTCATTGATTTCGTAATAATCTACTTGAGACGCTTCTAAACCAGCATTTGAAATTGCTTTGGGTATTGCGAGAGATGGTGTAGTTGTGAATAATTCTGGGGCCTGCAAATGTTCATGATTTAATCAGTTTAGAATTGAACATGACAAGTTAGATAAAGGTGAAATAGGGATTAAACTTTGACATGAATGCCTACCTGAGCAGCATCAGCATATCCCGTGATTTTTGCGATGACTTCAAGCCCAAGCGACTGTGCCTTTTCTCCACTTACTAATACAACTGCAGCAGCACCATCGCTGCATATGAAAATAAAATTAGTTGATCAAAGTACATTAGGGCCAATCACCGAAAATCAACACTTTAATTAATAAGCCAAACAAAAGTTTCAGATAGTCAAGTATTTGAACAAGAATGAATTGAATTAGAAACTAAGGTTGCTCAGAAGGATGAAATAATGCCCACAGACCTTATGCTGGATGCGTTACCAGCCGTGACTGTGCCACCATTTTCCTTGAAACTGGGTCTCAGCTTCTTCAACTTTGCAGCATCAAACTAACCAGGACAAAAGAGCATTTAGTGCTGAGAAACAGTCACTTTGTGTTCGCATTCAACTCATTAAACACACAAGCGCGTGCCACATGGTTATACAATGCACCATAAATATACAGAGATAGTTTCTGGTTGGAGTCGGAACAACTACTAAGGACACTAAGGCGAGATTCTGATGTCTGAAAAATGGAAATAGGCTTTACCTTTCTTTCATTAAATATGCGCATGTCTTTTGATGCTATATGTTTCAAAGCGTAACTTAGCATGCTTTGCTTAAACAATCACCATACAATTCAAATTGCCAGTTATTATAAACAATTTTTAGTAATAATAATAAAGAAAACAATCTCCATGTCGTGATGTTTTCCTAAATTAAATATATTTTCACATGTGTATATATATATATATATATTCAAACATGCCATTACCAAACTTAACTTTCACAACGTTACTTCCCCCTCTCTCAGAAAATATAAGCAATCTAACAATTTAACTATTATTCAATCTCATTGCAAATTGAAATATCATTAACCACTGTATCATAGACATAACCCTAACCACTAATCTTATGTTCTATAATCTATATCATAACAAAACTTTACTATGCAAATTTCAAGTCAACAAAAAACACAACTTTATTACACACAAGCAAAATAAAATTCCAAAACTGCATCCAAACAATGAAATTGAAAGAAAAAAAACAAAAACAATACATGCAACCACTGTATTTGCATTGACGAGGGGCAGACAAATAAACTCACCTTCCCAAGACCTTCATCCTTCTCAACAATTGTAGATGGTCTTCCTCGCCCACCTGACACCTCAACCTGAATGCAAAAGATTAAAATGCATCATAAAAATGTACAGGAGCTACCTAATGTAAGCTTAGGTCCAGAGGCCATACAGGAACAATCTCCCATGTGAAGGCGCCAGCATCTTGAGCAGCAATCCCACGCTCAAAACTTTGGATTGCATAATTGTCCTAGACAGATTAAGCCATATAAAAAATACATCCTAGCACATTCTTCCTATTTGAAACTAAAAAGAACATGAAAAGCAGAGAGTAAGCAGGACACCCCAAATAACAAGCCAGATTCGTATCACCCTTGCCATAACACAAGACATCAAAATTGAAAACTCAGATCCAGGATTAAAATCTAGTGTTGATATATAAAGGCACAACAAGAGGGAAATGGAAATTTCCTATCAATGAGAAGAAATGCAAATAATACCAGCCTTCAAAATGTATCTGCTTACAGAAAACAAGTGGTATGCTAGAAAACAACTCATAGAAAGGTTGATAAAACCTTTAAAACTATATGTACATATTTGGGACCAAAGAACATAAACAAACCTGTTCCTCTCTGGTAATATTGTGTTGTTCAGCACATAATTCAGCACAATTCCCCATGCTACAGTCATTATATACATCCCAAAGTCCATCTTTCAGCATTCCATCAACAAGAGAATCATGTCCAAGTCGAGATCCTTTCCTGTAATATGCCAAGTTCAAATAATTAAGAATAATACGGCTAAATTTCAGCATGCTAGATAACAAAACAATTTCAACTGCAAAAGATGAGAGTCTAGCTGCTTTTCAAGAAGAATACCACAACCCAATAAAAGAAAGAATTGTGTCACAAAAATCATTAAATCTTTTATAGTATCTAATTATTTCGAAAAATCATGAAGTACATGCTCAAGAGAAGGCCTTCATAATAACTCTCAAATTCTTTCATAAAAGTATATGATCTAAATATTAGAAGCGGCATTGTTTAATAGAAACAATTAGCACAGAGAGGAGACAGCCTTCAAAATAACTATTTGGTTGTCACATTCATCAATATTTGGTTTCTTTTAGTTCACAATTTCATGTTGATGTAGAAATTTATCCTATTCTAGTCAGATGCAATTCAATTAAAGGCTTAAAGCACATATTCCTTACAAGAACACCTACCTTGCCTCCGCCAGGTACTTTGGGACATTTGACATGCTCTCCATGCCACCTGCCACAACAACATCATTGATTCCCAACTGAATGCTTTGGGCTGCCTGCATGATTGCTGTAAAAATAACATCAAGTCAGAAATCATGTATGACAGAAACATCTCATTCTGGGGGGAAAAATTACCATAATCTGTATAGTATTACCAGAGGATCTAGGTTTCTATTTGGTTGTCTCATTCTGGCACAAACTAACTTTTGAGAGGATCTAGGTTTTTAAAGATAAGAGCCAAACCTTTCATTCCAGAGGCACATACTTTGTTGACAGTTGTGCAGACAACAGTATTGGGGATCCCAGCGCCTAAGGCTGCCTGCCTTGCTGGGGCCTGTCCTAAGTTTGCGCTAAGCACATTACCAAAGATAACTTCTTGTACAAGTGATGGGTCCACATTTGCTCTTTTCAGAGCATCTGTATATGGCAAGTTGAACGAACTCATTATATACTAAATGCTAAAGTTAAGACTTTCCATTTGAACAACGGAACACTAAGTTTGTAGTCTTACTCTCAATAGCAATGGATCCAAGTTTGGTGGCCGGTAATGATGAAAGTGTACCAAGAAAACCACCCATGGGTGTTCGGGCAACACCAACAACACAGACATCTGAATTATAAAGCATAAGCGTAGTTCATTAGGACAAGATATAGAAAGTTCAAATGTAATCTGGCAATAAGGGAATAATTGGAGGTGCTTAGGAGTTTTGAAATTCAGAAATTTTCACATTCAAGGAAAAAAGGAAAACGAGACAAGTATAAAACCAACATAACCAATTCAATCAGAACGGTGAACAGAACCAAAGGAGAAATATTACTAAAACAAGCAGCCAAAAATTTCAACTAAATTGGTATAAACGATAGCAGTAGCCTGCATCATAGCTATTTGATGCAAAACAGTTGTTCTTTTCCTTTATTATTAATATTATTATTACGCATTGAAAGAGAGTCAAGGAAAAATCACCTCTAGGCTTAATCGCTGCTGCTGGAGCCATGATCAAGTTGTGCGTAATTTAATTTCTGTTACAGGAATTGCATCAGAATTGGAGGGAAAAAAAACAAAACAAAAGAACATAAAATGGTCGATAACTTAACATTGCACCGGAAACAACGGCTTACACGTGATCCTTAATTTCCAAAAATAAATAAGATAAATCCCCTTGACCAAAAGAAATTAAAATCATCCAAACTCCTAACCAACCAAAATCCTCATTCAATCAGCTAAACTGCATCAGCTTAAACTTTCCTCTCTCTATCGCCACATTAAAGGCTTATGATTTTCATTTCCTCAATATGTTCCACATAATAAACACACCACCCACGCCGCACAGATCTCCGGCTGCTAACTCGATTCCAGCAAATTAACAAACAATCAGGTATCGGATGCACTAGATCCAACCACAGCACAAAAACACCGAGATACTGGGAGGGAAAACAAGCAGGAAGCTCTTCCGTGTTAATATGCATGAAAAATTAAGCGATTCTCGGGAAGAAGAAACGGCGATCGGCAAGACAAACGGAATCTAGGCATGGTGGAATGATAGCTAAAATGTAAAAGAGAGTATACCTGTGGAAATCGGCGAGAAGTGAGGAGGCAGCAAGAGAGAAAACACACGTGAATGGCCGATGTGGAAAGCAAGCCGAGCCGGTTGTCGTCTATATATAGTGGGGGTGGGTGGGGTGGGGTGGGTTGGCGGCACGATTTAGGTAGTCTTTCTTTTTTTATTTAAGCCTTCGGAAACAGGGAAGATGGTCACGTGATAGCCAGCCAATGCAACGAGTTGGTGCTCAACTAATTTATACATTAACTATCTCTTATTGTCATTAATTCTATTATATTATTTTTTTTATCTCTCATTCGTATAATATTTATTTTAATATCTAAATTATTCTATTTATCATCTGTTATGGTAAATCATATTCAACTTATTTCTATATATAAACAATTTAATCATTTATACATATTTCCATATATTTTTTTTATTATCTAATAATATTTTTAATTTTTAAATATTAACCTATAAAAATTTTAATAATAGAATATATTTGAAATAAATCAACATGTATATTAACTAAAAATAATATAACAAAAATCATGATAATTAACAATAAATTTAAGAATTATTATTTTTATTTTCAAATCATATACAAATAATATATACAGTAAAGTAACAATAAATAATTTTAAAATATGATAGATAAATACGTGAGAATTAGTTAATAAATTTTAAATATATATAGTTTATGTTATATTTATAATTTAAAATTTTGAAATTTTAAAAAAATTTTGATAGTATTTAATTTAATTCTTTTTTAATTTTTGTTGAAGGTAACCAGTTCTTAGGTAATAAATTTTGATAACTGAATTTCTTTTTTAAAGGTAATGAATTTTGTTATAGTAAGATAATAAAGAAGATGATTGTAGCGGATGCTCTTATTGAAAATGTATTAAATACAATTGGTGGTATTTTATAATTTTATTTTATTTTTTTATGATCCTTATTATTGTATTTTTTTTATAAAAATAATACAATATTAATTTTTATATCACTAATAGTATAATTTACTATATCTAATATAGAAATTAAAAAGAAATGCATCCATTTGGGATGTGTTTGTTTTTAATTTTAAATCTAAATTAAATTATTTGACCTGTAATGGTGTGTTCTTTTAATTTAGTTTCGACAATTTTAGTCTAGGTTTAATATTAAAATAATGAATAATACAGTTTTTTTATGAGAAAAAAAAAATTATTATTTTTAAAAACGTTATAATACAAATAATAAAAATTTGAAATTTAAATGATATTTGTAGAATATTATGTTATATTTAAATTGAAAATCAAATAAAAAATTTTAATTCAAATAAAAAAGATATACTCCTTCCGTCCTGAAAGTATAGTTTTGGTTGTGTTTGGCACGAAATTTAAGAAATATTGATATTATATTGATAGTGGATAAAAAGTATAGCTAAAATATATTTTTGTCTTGTGAGTGTATTAGTGTAAAAAGTCACGACAATTGTATAATAATAATGAAAAAATAAGGGTAGTTTTATAGCGATATAGTTATTTATGGAAATAAGACTATTATTTTAGAACGAACAAAAATAGTAAACAAGACTATTGTACTGGGACGGATGGAGTATTATCTAACTCATTTATAACACGAATTCGTCTAATTCTTTTTTAATAGGCGACCTTGTAATATTCTGAATTTAATTATATGCAATTCTCCAACAAATTAAACCTGAATTGACTTTAACCTTAATAAATAAATAACAAAAAAAACACAGGTGTAGAATTTGGCAAGTAAATTCAAACATATATACAAATTAAACATTTTCAATATTAAAAAGAAAAAATTATGAGGTATATTTCTATATGTTTTTCTTTTCTTAGTTATCATTTTAAATTTCAAATTAAATATTTTTTATTTAAGATATTATACAATATATTTATGTTTATGTTATAATATTAAAATTTTGATTTAAATTAAAATTATTATACAATATTTTTTTTTTATTTCAAATGGTATAATTCACATAATTTAAAAGATTCCAAATAAATTAAATTACAAATAAATATACAAGAGTTTCTAATAATATTAATAATAATGTGCAGAGCAAGAGGATTTTAGTCGAGTAAAAAATGGTCGATCTTTTAGTTGTTTTTTTTGTTTTTTTTTTTTTTGTTTTTTCAATAATAATAAAAAATTATCTATCTTTGGCGAGGAGCCAATATTGACTCAACAACGCGCACTCACGTACATGGAGAGAGTAACGATGAAGTTTTACTTGTTTGTTTTGAATCTGTATTTACATATTATATTTTATATACCGCCGTGTCTGATACGAAATTTAAATTTATTAAAAAAATACTTCCTCCGTTCAGTTAAAAATTATACACAATTCTATTTTGAGACGTCCAATTACAAAATAAATATTTCATTAAATACCTCACTTTTATCCACAAATACCCTTACTTTACATCACATCATTATTTTTATACCAAAAAGTAAGGGCAAAAATGTCATTACACTACTTTTAATTACCCACTATAATTAAAAAACTATTATTTCTTAAACATCGTGCCAAAAGTAAATGTATATTTTATCCGTGGACGGAGGGAGTATTACAATACTCCCTCCGTCTTAATTACGAAAATGATTTAGGGGCGTGTTTGGCAATTAGCTGATAGCTGTTAGCGGTTAGATGATTCAATTAACTGATAGTTGTTAGCTGATTCAATTAGCTGATTTAACTAGTTGATTCGATTAGCTGTTTGTATTAAAATATTTGGTAAAACAACTGTTTAATATTAGCTTTTTATACGTAAAATGACAATTGAGGACATTTCTATTTTATTGTTGTTTCTAATATATTCAATTATTTTCTTTTGAGTTTAGAATGTTTAAAATTTTTTGTTATTAGTTATTGAAAATTGTAAAAGTGTTATAAAAGTATTTATTTTTATTACAGTTAAATTTAAAAAATAATATTTTTTTATTAAAATATATAAATAGCTTTTTTTTATTGAAAATGATGTAAAATATAAAATAATAAATTTTTCGTGTATATATTTATTATGTTAGTTATCGATTAGTTCATTATATTTATAATTTTCAATAAATTTAATTTATTTTTAGTATAAAATTTATATAATGTAATTTTAATAAAAAAATAAATTAGTAATATTTATATTTTTTATTTTATGTTGATTTTTATAAATTTATATATTTTACAATTAAAATAATTTTTATATAAAAAATTATTATTTTAAATTTATAAAAGTAAAACTATAATATAGTAAAATATTCTAATATAGTTAATTAATAATCAAAATATATTTATTTGTGTAAAATGTATAATAAATTTTTAAGGGGATATAAGGAATAAAAAAATTTTTACAAAAAAAAACTATTTCAAAATGTTGGGTAAGTTAACTTTTCAAAAATTAACTTTTTGGGTCCAAAAAGCTAATTTACCAAACACTTGAATTAGCTTTTTGACTGGTCAAACAGCTAAAAGCTCTTCAATAAGCTATTTGCCAAACACCCCTTTAATTTTTTTTAGATAGGTATATTAAAATACAGGGTAAACTGTTTTTTAGTCTCGTAACTAGATCTTCTTATCATTTTAGTCCCGTAAATGGGACATGTCGCAAACTAGTTCCATAAATGAAAAATTTTCGTTGTTTTAGTCCTCTGGCATCGGAGACGCACGCGTGGCTCGCCGGAGGCTATGTGTCCGCCAGGTGTCGCCGTGGATTTTATTATTTTTTATTTTTTTAAAATTGATTTTAAATTAATTTTCAATTTTATTTGTCTTTTTTAATTTTTTTATTTGATCCAATTGAAAAAAATTAAAAAAATAAATAAAATCCACGTGTCCGTCAAGTGTCTCTAACCTGGTGGACACGTGGCTTCCGACGAGCCATGCCGACGTCTCCGGCGCCGGAAGGACACGTGGGTTTGAGTGATTCCTTGTCTTATTCAATTTTATCTGTCACTTGTAGATTGTTGTGAAGCAATGGGTTTCTTTCAGCCATATTGTAATTTTGTTTAGGATCTATTCCGAATATTAGTTTTTATGTGTTATTGATCTCGTGTTACCGATTTCGGGTTTAGGTCTGTCGATTTGATCTGCGAATTGGATTTATTATTTGGGGGTGGGTAATTCGTTTCGGTAATTCATTTGGAATATCTAAATCTCTATCACTGAAATTTTATGAATCACAATGTTGTAATTTTTGTTTATAATCAATTTTCGAGTCGCTATTCTTGAATCACATTTTTGGAACCCTTGCCGTTGTAATTTTTAGCATCGCACCTTTTGAATCGAATTGAATGTTAAGGATTTATATCAAGTATATGTTGTTTCTCCCATACTGGAAGCCGTATCGTACTTACGAATCTGCCTTAGGAATTTTTCGTGTTCCTTTAAATTATATGTTGATGTTGTCCTCCAAAACAGACGTTTCAATTCTAGTCCCTTAGATCGCGTTTTGAAGTTGTTGTACATGTGCCACAAACAGAATCGATGCTCCGCCCTCGGTGCTCGATCGGCAATCTCCTCTACCAAACCCTTTTTTTGATCGAAGATGAACGTCCACTCCCTTGTCCTCGAATCCCCAAGGTCTCGCGACAAGCGTTTTAAAAACCAGTCTCACATTTCGTACCTCTCAATCTCTACAAACGCAAATGCAAAATGGCAATGGGGTAGATATTCTCATTCGAATCTCACACGATGGCCATGAAAAGCTGCCATTTGTATAATCTCTTAAGAAAACAGCCGTCCAACCCAATGATGTCCGACAGCCCGCCTTGAAACTATTCTCAGGGCTACCAGACAGTAATTCATCTTCTTCAGTACTGGAAGATTAAG